TTATTTTCATGATCCGAACTATTCATTTTGGAAAATTTGTTAAATAATTTATAACTATCAAAAATCATATTAATCGGATATCAATAACTATATGATCGAATTACATATTTTTTATGCTATTTCTCAAAAGAAAAACTTATTGTCTATTTTTTTTGTTATCGATCATATAGTTATTGATATCTGATTAATATGATTTTTGATAGATATAAAGTTCTCAACAAACTCTATAAAATAACGGTTCGTATCATAAAAATAAACTCATAATAGATCTTAAATTGAGGCACAACAATTACCACCGTATCTTTAGCACAACACTGGCCCCATTTCCCCTAAACATGGCCTTTCAGTGAGAACACTTTGACGGTACTATTTGGCTCACAGGATGAACGTGTTAACGGAACAATGATTGGCTCCTTGTGAATTGATATTTTACGGTGATAAATGATAGTTCAGGGCAATTTGTGAACTTGTTAAAAAAAGTAAATTTTTTGGTTTTTTAATTTTTTTACATAAAAAAAGAAGTTAAAAAAAAATTACACAAAAACGCCATCAAAAAACTAAAAATTTAAAAAAACTAGCTTTTTACCGACTTTTCAAAATATCACTCAATTTGTAATGTAATTTTAATTATTTTGTTAGTGAATTAAATGTAAGATTGGATTTGGACAGTCAATTATAAATATTGAATTATGAATTAAATAAAGATTTAAAAAAAGAAGAAGACAAAATTGTGAGAAAAAAAAATAAACCAATTTTTTTTTTTCAATTTTTTTGCCCTTTTTAAACTTTTATTTAAAGTCAAACATAAAGATATCTATTCTTTGTGGGGAAAAAAATAAATACAAATTGTGGGCAACGTAAATTTGGGCTTTATTTATTCATTTTTATGTAAATTATTCATAAATCCTTTTTGAAAAGTGTGTATTCTATTTAAATTTAATTTTTTTTAGATAAACTCAAAAGTCCTATACCCATTTATATTCTTATTTTTCCTTACATCTTGTTTCTTCTCTGTATTTCTCTTTCTCTGATATCGGTGATGACTACGACTACATCTTTCTTTTTTTTCTTTCTTTTTCTAATCTACAGTCACCGACGACTAGCGACCACTATTGATTGGGGTTCATGGACAATCACTGAGTACCAACTCCTTACTTCGTGTTCATTGACGGCTAAAGAGATGAGTTTTCAACAAATAAGATGAGTAGATCTACGTTAGATCGGACTAAATTTAAACCAAAAAATAGTTGTCGGAGTACAAGCATCTCTTTATATATGTCTCTTTCCTTCAATCTCTCAATTTTAATATTCTTTTGGGTTTATTGGTCGTAATTCTTTCATAGAGCCCGTTTTTCTTGAAAATGAAAAGCTATAATTTTTTGACTCATAAACTTCTTCAAAAAATCTTATAAGAAGGGCAAAAATTTTCAAATTTATATTTTACGTGACAAATTTACCTCTTCACACACGCACACTCTCTATCTTTCTCATCTTTCTCTCCATCAGTTTGTCATCTCACTCAGCTCTTTCTTTCTCTATCTCTTTCTAAGAGCTCTCTCCACTACCACCACCACCACTGTCTACACCACCACCACCATCGCCAGATCCACTACCACGACTACCATCATTTCCATTACCTCCACCGTTTCTACCAACACCGTCTCAACCACTAGCGATGTTCGTCATCGCCGCCATCATCACCACTACCGTTTCACCACCACCATCGTCATCCTTGGCGTCCAAGATCTCAGATATGAGATTGACAACCTCATATTTGAGATCTATCATTTCACATCTATATTATCTCTCTTTTTCTTTTTGTCTCCTCATCATGTTTCGTTTTTTAGACAACAAAATTTTACACTCGTTTAAATCAAGTTTAAGGCAATATATGTGCTCTCTCTATCTCTCTATTTCTCTATTTTTTTTCTCTGGTATGTCCTCTGTTTTTATTTGACAAGATGAGAATAAAATTTTACTCTGGTATGTGCTCTGATTTTGTTTGACAAAATGAGAGTAAAATTTTACTTTGGTATGTGCTCTGTTTTTGTTTGATAAAAGGAGAGTAAAATTTTACTCTAGTGTTATATGTTCTTTTTTTTGTTTTTTTGTTTTTTTTTGTTTTGATACAATGACAGTAAAATTTTACTCTGTTATTGTTACTTCTGTTATTTGTTTTCAGAGCAATGAGTTCAAGTGATGAAAGAGAGTGGGGGAGATAAACGGTTCCGCTGTTTGATATTTGCCCATTTATATGGAATGGTATTTCAGCCTTTTCACTATATTTTTTTGTTTAAGGGACTTTTGGAACCAGTTTTTATTACATAGTCTTCACACAAAAAAGGCCCAATGGGAGGGGCTTTTTACCAAAAATCCCTACTTTTTTTTTTATACTATACACTTCTGTTTTCCTGTTATAATGGGAAAAAAATTCAAGTTTTGAACATGTTTTCGAATTTTAATTATGGGCGATAAAAACTGTAAAATTTTACAGTTTCAATTTTTTTGGTGCTGAATTGAATCATTCTTTAAAAGTATAAAATTTTCCAGTTTCATAACGTTCTTTAGAACTGTAAAATTTTATAGTTTCATAAAATGTTTTTCAGTTTGATTAATAAGGATAAATACTTAATATAATCATACTTTGAAACTGTAACATTCTTACTTTTCAGTTTGATCAATATTAGAAATTACTTGCTTAAACCCTACAAAAATTGAAAATAACATATGCTTTTTTCATTGTTACTATTTGTTGTTCTTAGAGTTGTTTTTCTTCTTTCAGTTTATCAATATTTTGCATATTTTGTTATGTTTTGTCACTTTAATTTCTCAGTTTATTATTCTTCTTTTTTTGGCAATATTCTAGATATTCTGATGAGTTTCCAGCAATATTCTTGATGTTCAGCGAATATTCTAGACATTCTTATGACTTCCGGTGACGTTCAGAACATTCCGACGATACTCTAGCAAATTTTCGATGATATTCCGGCGACTTTCTGGTAATGTTGAATATTTTGGCGAGTCTCTGATGACCATCTGACGGAAGTACGATAGTCGTAGGATGTAGGAGCGTCGTTAATTTTTTTTTTTTAAAAATAAAAGTTTTTGATAATAATTAAAAATATATTAGACTAATTGATGTAAATATTTTATTTTGAGAGTAAATAAATTTTAAATTTTATATATGAGACTTACCAGTAAATTTCCTATTTTTTTTAGAAAAAGGCAAGGCTTTCCGTGTTATATCAAAAAGAAAATTTTAACTACATATTAGCTCAATAGCAGGCAAAATCCGGGTTAGGATGAAGCCTTTCATACAAATTTGAATTTAGGGTAATTTACACTGACACCCTTAGGATTCTGTTTAATACAAATTCCTTCCTTATATTTTGAAAAATCATATTTATTTCCTATCAAATTAAAATGACATATTTTTTCTTTACCCTTTATACATGTAAAATAATAAAATAATGTTGATATTTTATTCATGTCATTTCAAGAGAAATAACAATCATCTTATTTGGTTTAACTTATAAAAAAAAATTAAAAATTATTTTTCGTGTATTTTTATTTTTACTAATTTTAAAAAATATTTTAAGTAATTTTTTTAATTTTTTAGATATACCTAATCTAGATATATTTAAGAAGTATAATATTTTGTACTTTTTTCTAAATTTACCAAATACAAAAAACAAAAAAAATTAGTAATATTGTAATAAATGTGAATGACGGTGTTTGGTAATACTGTGATAAATGTGAGTGAATAGACAAGAAAAAAAAATAATGATGGAAATAAAAATAAAAAATTCTATTAATATATACAAATTTATACAAAAAATTTCATAAAAATATTGTAATAGTGATGTTGTAGTAAATATAAGTCATATTTATTGGTACTTTGTTTTAAAGTGAAAGGCAACCTTTAAACTATATCATTGTATTTGAAAATTTTATATAAAATTTTGTTTATATATTATCACTCAATAAGAATATGTTCAAGTAGAATTTAATGATGAAAAATTATAGAATGTAATCATGATGATAAGAAGAAAAAATTGTAAAAAAAATAAAAGGTAAAATGGTCATTTAAAAAATTTTACGATATGACATCAGTATTAGGAGGCAAAGAAATTACAATCTTCGGAGAGGAGAATATAATTTTTCAAACCTAATGGGTGAATATAAGGTCAGGTTTGACAAGTCTCAAAAAATTCAAAAAGCCAAAAGGTTACATAAAAAAAAAAAATCATTACTATTCACAAATAAAAAATATTAAAAAAATATTTTATACATTTTTGTAATACAAAAATTTGAATTACACTGTTAGTCGAAATTCAAGAAGCTCACCTTGATGTTATTCTCCCATTTGTACTCAAATCTTCCCAGATTCGCCCGACGCTTCTGCAGAACACCAAAAGGATTCTCAAATTCGATTTGACCATCCTTGGGAGCATCACTACCATCAGTAGGAGATTCATTTCGATTTGAAAAGCCTGTTCAACCCTCAATTCATAGTCGTGATTAGAGTTTCGAAAAATTCTAACACTATCTAGATGATTCGACTCTAAATGGTTCAAGTGACTTCATCAAAGCCTTCTCCGCTTTGAATCTAGTTTAATTTCCTAAGCTATGAAGCACGGGTGCGGGTGCAGGTGTGGGTGCGAGTATGATATGGGTACACCGATACAGCAAATTCTTACAAAAGTAGGGTACAGGTACAGGTACAGCTGGGGTATGTCATTTTTTTTTTTAAAAAAAAAATTATAGCTAAATATCCAACATACAAATCAAAATTTCAATATCAAAACTAAAAAGAGAACAGCTTGTCTAAAAAGTTATATAATTCTTTCTTTTTCTTTTTTGATTGTCTAAAATAGGATACAAAAGAGAACAAAACCATAACTCATGAGTAAAGAGTGTTAGAAATAAATTACTTGATATTTTCAAAATTGAAAGAAGAATAATAAAGGTTGTAATAAATTCTAGTAGCTACAAAAAAAAAAAAAAAAAAATCCCGCTCCCCTCTGATTTGAAATTTTTTTCTCTCTCTAAAACACGCACAGTTTCTCATTCTAGAGCGCAGGGAGGGAGGGACGTTTACTGTTGTGTTGTTCAGTAGCAGACAGAGAGAGAAAGAGGTAAGTTATCGGAAATGGCGACGAATATTGGAATGATGGACTCGGCTTATTTCGTCGGGAGATCAGAGATCTTGACGTGGATCAACTCCATTCTAAAACTCAATCTCTCCAAAGTCGAAGAGGTTTCTTTTCCTTCCAAAGCCCTAATTTTCATTTTTCTCGCATTTCAATTCATATATATATATATATATATATGTATGTATATATGTTTTCATTTGTATACCAATTGTTTGGATCTGTTGATTGCAGGGATGTTCTGGTGCGGTTCACTGCCAGCTTATGGATGCGGTTCATCCCGGAATCGTGCCGATGCACAGGGTCAACTTCGATGCGAAGAACGAGTACGATATGATACAGAATTACAAAGTTCTTCAAGATGTCTTCAACAAACTCAAGATCACCAAGGTTGATTTCTTAATTTATGCTTCTAGGGTTTCATTTGTTTCCTTGGAAAAAGTTCTTGTAAGTGATGAAAATTAAATTATTTTCTCTCAATGCATAACGTATTGGTTGTTTAATTTCTTATTTTTTGGGGGCAATTGATAATTGATTGATTTTCCATGTGTGTTGTTGGAGGGTGCAGCATATTGAGGTAAACAAATTAGTGAAAGGAAGGCCTCTTGATAATCTGGAGTTCATGCAATGGTTGAAGCGGTACTGTGATTCAGTTAATGGACGCGTTCTACACAGGTGTTTTTCCAACACTGGTTCTTTCCTCTATGCATTCATTTTTCTTGATTTTTGTGAAAATTCTCTACTTTTTGTTACTTTGTGACAAATGGTCTATTCTAGTTGTTTGTTTTGCTGTGTTGGGGTCGTTAATAGTAAGTTGAAAGCTTTAGTGTCGGTTATGGTTTGTTGTAATGGAAACAGTACTCAGGATGTGTTGATGTTGTGGCTCACTTTCTTTGTTGTTTTGACCTATTAGATCTCGGTTAACCTAGGTAGGTCAAAATTATGGTCTACTCATGTTCCGTTCCCAACTTTTTAAACTGAATTTCTGTAATGCTCATGTCAATTTGGTTTTGAAGCATTGCATGCTGTTGATGGTTTGTCCAAACGTCCTGTTGTTTGATTGCCTTGAATTTGTATTACTAGTGGAGACAAACCGTTCAGTCTTTGTTGCTAGATGAAAATCTTACTTTGAAGATGATATTAATGTTTATTGATTACTGATTTCTTTGCTGTTAATGTTAGTTACAATCCTTTGGAAAGGAGAGAGGCTTCAAAAGGAGGAAAAGATGTGAACAAGAAATCTACATCATGGCAGCCTTCGACCAGATCTTCAACAGCTGCTCCCAAAACTCAGACCTCCCACAACACTCGAAGGAATGATGTCAACGCTACAAATCAATCTGTTAAGGCCTCAAGACCTTCTTCAAGCGGAGGACCTGCATATAATGAGCAGGTACTTGAAATCATCGATGTAATGAGAAACTTACAATTTAAGAATTTTGGGGGTCTAAATCTCTACTTGATGCAGATCGCAGAGTTGAAGTTGTCAGTGGACAGTCTAGAGAAAGAGAGAGACTTCTACTTTGCGAAGCTGAGGGATATTGAGATCTTGTGCCAGTGTCCTGAGATTGAAAATTTAGCTGTACTCCTTATTTTAAATTGGTTGATATGAGAATTAGTAGTTTGGAACTATTAAAATAAAATTACACTACTATCACTTATTTGGGTTAATTATCAAATTTTGATTCCGTTCACAGGTTGTCGAAGCAATAAAGAGGATATTGTATGCTACAGATGATAGTACATCGGTGGTGGCAGAAGCTCAAGCCATGATATCCCAGTACCCAAAGAAACCTCAGCTTTTGAGTCCTATTTCAGAGGTGCCAGAAGATGTGCCCAAATCAGATAATCAGAAGAGGAAAAATATTATTAATGTTGAAGTTGATTCTGTTGCCAACACTATGTTGTCCCCAAGGCAAAGGATTTCTGATGCGTCTGATGTCCATTGCAGCGGATCACCCCTTGTGACGTACTGATCTTCTCATTTTACAGAGTTCAGTTGGTCTCTTAGGGTACATGCTTGGTGTATAATTCTAAGTTTATGTTGTGCTACTCAGATACATACACGCCACTTGGTCTATTAAGTATTGGATTTTTGAACATATTGGTTGAACTCATCATGGGTAGTAGATTTTATATTGAAAAAAGATTTTGGTAATCTCTTGTTTCTTCTTTTTATACCATCTTGTAATATCTGCAATACATCCATCCATTGATTAGTTTATCTGCCACGCATACATTCATCCATCTTGTGATGCTGTATTGAAAATTCTTTTGCCTACAAATCTGGTGGTTTGATCATTGACGTAGTGTCATACTTTCTTATGATAGTTTTGTAAACAGTAAATGTTACAACATATAGTAGTTTTGGTACATCGGCGGAGTTTGTTGGAGCAAAATTTCTGCCTGTGTCAAAACTTGAATCTTTGATCTTCTCCTAATGAGGTACAAGAGTTATTGTCGATTAAACTAATCCCAGTTGATTGTAATTACAGTCAGATTTATGTTGGAGCATTTTGCAAGCCTAACCATGCTTATTTTAACTTCTAATTTTAACATTCACATCCCTGTCAGTTTGTTTGCTATTTTTTGTTCTTTATTTTTTTTGGGTAATGCATTGTAAGACTCATGTCCCAAAAGATGATTTATGGGTTCCCTTGTTATGACTTACTATGTTTGGGTCATGAATTTGTAGAGGAAATCATGCAAATAAATGAAAAAATAATAATAAAAAAAAAAAATTAAAAGAACCTCAACTTATTTATTTCATTTATTTTATTTTTGTTTAATAAAATCATGATCCAAACATGGAATATCGAAGAGATTATTCATGTGAGTAGTGAAATTGATATAGTTATGTCAAGAACACATAAGATTTTCACAAGATGAGACACAGACGCGAGACAAAGGGTGAATCTCACATGTTGAATACATATATAAGATCTACCGTTTATCTCACATCTGTTAAAATTGTCTATTCACTTAAATTTACTCCAAACTAATATCAACCAATGATTTATTGACCTATAAGGCAGGGGGGGTGAACTTTTTTTGAGGGCAACAAATATACAGAGAAGTTGACCAAAGCCCTGTCCACAATTTGGCGAACTATCTGGGTGCCTAATGACACCACATCTGAGCAATGCTTTTTGGAAACAGGTACTGTGTAATAATAAGAAGCAGCTACTTGATATAAATTCTTCAATTCTTGCTAGACTCTCCATATAATCAATCAATGGCACACATAAATGAATCTAGGGAGGTAGGTACACTTCATCACATACAATACCTTGGTCTCTATCATTTTTTGTTGTTTGTTTCAATGGTATTGATGAAGTCTTTTTTTTTTTTTTAATGTTTTAAATTATCAGGCGACAGAGAAAATGAATATACAAGGAGGTGATCATGGAGAGAGAACAGTGAACACGGTGGATTACCGGACATCAGCGGGTCAAGCCCAAGAACAGGAACCCGTCCAGGTGGTTCACCAATCCCATTTGCCTACTACGACAACAAATTCTAACACTAGCGGCGGCATCTTGGTTGGTGCTGCTAATGCTGTTGCATCCACTCTTCAATCCGCTAAGGAGGCCATCTCTGGCAAATAAGGAGAGCAGTCCTAGTGCATGAGGCTCCTGTTACTGCACGGTCTGAGAGGGAGGATCAAACATACGCAACCTTACCCCAAACATACAGAGAGATGGTTTCAGTGGTTTGATTTGAACCTGTTAGGTTGCAAATAATAGTAGAAAAATTATGAATTCAAATCAAGTTTTCATTTATCGTTTTGTTTTTGGGTGGAAAATTTAACGCTCTATATATGATGATTATTTGAGTTTTCATTATGCATTCAATTTCATTCAAATGTTTGTTGGTTGATTAAACGTTATTTATTTAAATCACAAAATTAAAATATAAAACAGATGATAAGTAAATATAGTGATAAAATAATATAAAGTTACACACTTCATCAACAAAGGCATGTATGTATTCACAATCTATCATGGTAGATTTTTGGCACTATGAACACGTGACTCAGTGCAAGAAGTTGATAGTGTTCTACCTAACATTCAACTGTGTCACGAATAACTCTACTGATTATTCCAAATAACGAATATATAACATAATTTTCTTAACAAATGTCGAAGAGTTACAACTCTAAATAGAAGAACCAAACTCTCTGTTGTATATATCTTTCAATTTACTAATTCTGAGATTAATTAGCTCTAAGATAGAGTTAAGAAATAACATTCTATATATACATAGAGTGAAGACAAAGAATAACTTTTGTATACGTAATTGATAAATAAATAGGTCTTACTAATGACAGCCTTTAGAGCTGTCAATAAGAAGTACATAATTCTAAAATATTTATAGTTTCAATACACATCTCATATATTTCAAAACATTTTACATATTTTTATGTATATTTTTTAACACATGTTTCAACATTAACAACAACTGTTAGTCGTTTTTAGAATTTTTTATAAAATAATGTCCAATGAAAACAGGCAACTAACTCATCCCGCTAATAACAGAGTTTGGGAGAGGTAATAAGTAGTAAGAACGATAAACAAATATGACTCAGAAAAAAGGCAAGGCAAAACCAATTCATCAAGGTTTGTGATGAGGATGGAGACGGATGGGAAGTCCTTGAGTTGAGATGGCCTCGGAAGTGTATCGGTCTCATTGGGAAGCAGTGTCTCCCATCTGAACTTTGTCACCACTTTATGTATAAAAACATGTATTTCAAGTCTAGATTACTCATTCCCGGGACACATTCGAGGTCCTGCTCCAAATGGAACAAATGTATAAGGAGGTGGTCCATTTCCTCCAAACCTTGACAGGTCGAACTCCTCTGGATTCGGAAAGTATTGCGGGTTCTTGTGTGTCAGATGAGCAAAGCAATCCAGCGTAATTGACAAATTAGGACGATAATCATGAGGTGTGGTCGTTGTTACTTAATTTTTAGGTTAAAGAGTCAAGTTAACTGGAGTTTGACAGTTACTTAATCGGATTATATATATATATATATATATTTTACATAAATAATTTATTAGCCAATTTTATAGATTGTACGGTTTAAATTACCAAAATGAACCCAATGAGTCTACAACCATAAAAACTGGACTCAATTTATTTTCAAACATAAGCATGCTTCTTAAAAATATATAGTAATGCCAAATCACAAAATAATTTTAGATTGTAGCATACTACCTTCCGTCCCTTGAGAATCAAATATCCAGCATAAATGAAGTCAGCATGGCTTCTCTAAATGCTCCGGCCGCCGGTGGCATTAATCTTAGTGCTTCGCTCGCAACATTCCACGAATACCTTATCTTCCTCGCATCCTCCCGATTCAACAACTCTTTTTCTGCCTTTGAATTTGCCATCTCCATTTGCTCTGTTTCACTCTCATATTAGATTGATACAAAAAAATAAATAAATAAATAAATAATAAAAAAATTTTTTAAATCATATAGAAATTGAGCACATGCGCATTCGTACCTTTGAGGACCTCATTCATACTCAGCTCACTAATCACCATTCATTATGATTCCTCATATTCTCCAATCACTCAACACAAATAATTAATAATCCACCTTCTCCATAAATCATACTACTATGAAGTAACACATGGCCGTACTCTCAGACTATCGAATAATCACCTATCAATCACCCGACACAAATAATTAATACTCCACATTTTCCGTCAAAACCAATAATACTACTATAGAGTACCACATGGCCGCACTCCCAAACTACCGAACAATCACCCCGTGTAAAGATTGTATTGTTGAGAATGATTGTCTACACCCGAAATCTACTGTTGATGCTTAGGGCTTGTTTGGCATTGACTTTTTAATTAAAAAAAGTACAAAAGAAAAAATAGGCCGACCTTATTTGGGAACTACATGTTTTAACCAAAAAATCACTATAAGTTATCACATTACTCTCTTTACTTTTCTATACATTTTTCATTAAAAGTCAAAAAATGACTAAAATAACATGTTCCCAAACGAGGCATTAGCCAATAAGACAAAATATCACATCAAAATCAATAATTTTACTTTCAAAAAAGCCAAAAAAAAAGTCAAGTCCCAAGCTAAAATCACCAAAAAACTAAAAAATCAATTAAAAAAGTCAGTTGCCAAACGACTTACGCCTCATTTGGAAACATACTATTTTAGTAATTTTTTTGATTTTTTGGCTAAATTATGAGGTAAAAAAAACTAATATGTTTTAAATGACTTTTTAATTTTTTACGAAAAGATGTGTAAAAATTTAGAAAAAAGAAAATTTTTGACTTTTTTATATAAATTATAAACTTTTTAATTTTTTTTAATAATTTTTTAACTTTTAAATTAAAACTATTACATGTTAGACGAGACCTTAATCACCTATATAAAATATTATTTCCTTCCTCACATCTAATAATGCTGTCAAGAGCATCTCCAACGGTGTACCAAAATTTTCATCAAATCTGAGTAAAAAAATGACTTTTTTCTCAATCTGATACAGAGTGTTCCAACGGTTGATTTTCATCAAATTTTTATCAAATCTGCGCCGAGACAACCGGTTGGTCGACCGATTAAGCCAAATTTTTTTTTTATTTTTTTTATTTTACTTTTTGAACCTTTTAGTGGTCGATCGGTAAGGCCAAAAAAAAAAAATTTTTTTTTTAACTGTTTGAACCTTTTTTTGAAACTGTTTGAACCTTTTGGTGGTCGACCGGTTGGTCAACCGGCCGGTCTCCCCCAACGGTCATGCACAGTGTTTTGGTGAAATACGGAGCCTGTTCTCATTTTGGTGAAACGTTTGGTGAATTTTCGATTTGATATTAATTTGGTGAAACCGTTGGAGCTTCAAAAAGTGTTTTTTTTACCAAATTTTAAATTTGATGCCAGGTTTAGTGAAGCGTTAGAGATGGTCTAATATGCTCTCAATCATTGTACTAACCGTAAAAGATCATATATTGTTGGCAATGATACCTTCCAATCAAATTTTACTGTCGATGCTTGGTCAACTCATGTGTGTATATAAAATATTGTACTCTCCCGTTCCCCCACATGCCTAACTAATGTTGTTAAAAGAGTTACATTTCTCTTAAATTTAAATTTAAATTGACCTGTACTTTATTATTGATTTAAATTGATTGAAGAAAAAAAATATATTTGTAGATCATAGTAATAAGGGAAATTTAAAAGTAATAAGTGAAGAGAAATGCTAAAAATAGTCATACAAGTTATTATTAATGTTAAAAATATATTAAAATTATAAATATTTTAACATTTAGATGATCATTACTGTTTACAGTTTAATTAAGATTTCTGTGAAGAAGATAACTCTACTAGTTTTCTTGGTCAACTCATGTGACTATTTTTCCGGAATAAAGGAGTATTAAATATTTCATCTTCAGTTTCAAGATCAGTAGGTATACTAGAAGTACTATGTCTAAAAGATTGACCACAATTAAATTTAATACGGACTGAACCGTCAGTAAATTATTGAATATCTTGGATATCTTGACTAGTGGATTGTTGTTGATTATGTTTGTAATTTTCATTGACCGTAATCCATTGATCAGGGAGAGTAATATCTTTCCATTCTATCATTTGAGGGATATTTCTATTAGTATCATTGTTACTAGTTTGAATCAGTAATGTTTTGTCCTTAGGACTTTTATGTAAAGATTGAACATTTAAATTGGTTTTAATACATTTATAATGGACACGGTAAATTAAAGCAATATTATGAGTTTTTTCTTTCATATTAGTAAATGAACCATTTAATTGAATATTTAAAGTTAATGCATCTAATATGTGTGGATCTCTAAGACTGAGTGTGAAATCAGGAAAACAATTAAAATGAATAGGTCCTTTGTGAAGACCAGTTTCCACCATACCCATTAAACTATCATTATAATCAAGAAAACGAGCATATCTTAAACATAATAAAACAGAAGTATTTTTACCTTGTAGAGTTAATGGTTTGATTCCAACTTAAATTAATCCTAAATGAATAAAATTGTGACCAATTTTTAAATGACGTTTAATAGTGTTAGCATCAAATAAGTGACAGGTTTCTCTAGGCTTTTCAAAAGCATAAACTTGTTCTAATGTTTTAACATGCAGATTAACATTAAAAGCATATTGTAAAAACATAGTTTTATAAATTTCTTTAATTGTTAATTTTGGTATATTCCAACTTAAATCCAGTTTATCATTTTGTATTTCTAATTCTTCTTCATTAATTACTAATCCTTGATTAGGTATTGAGGGCAAAGTTGTTGACCTAGAACTGACTGAAGAGTTACTTCTAAATAATCGACTCATTTTTCTTTAATTAAACTGTTTTACAGGAATTTTAATACATTGTCTAAATTTATCATGTTTTCACATACTATGCTTTCACACATACCCATTTCGAAGGACCCCTAAAATCCTATACTGCCTAACCAAAGGACTGACCAAGGACAGGGACGAAGATTGGGTGGCTAGTAACAAAGTGGAAAACACAGATATAATTTTGACAAATTAAGATGACTGGAAACAGATTAATAGATAGAAAATAGGGTTGACTTAATAAAAGTAGCAAAGCAGTAAGCAAGAGATCTCAACATAACTTGGCTCTGATACCAAAAGGGACGGAAGTAGAAATATAAAGAACATGAAGAAGGAAACAATACTAATAATACTATTAATAAGCTAAACTAAAACTGAAATTAATACTAAAAGAAAACAGTTTAAATAAACATTAATAATAAAACTTACAATTGTTTAATGGAGTGAAATAAAAAATTCTTCAAAATACATAACTTGAAAAGGAACTTGAAAAGAAA